ATGGGCTGTTAAATGACTACATTTGTTTGAGTCTTTACAAAGGCATATAGAAGTAATTTTGAATTCCTGATCCTGTGAAGAAAGGATCTGTTACCATTCAGGCAGAATATTAGTAACACATCTGAACTTTTAATGAATATGATTAACATGGAGAAAAATTCCCGCATCCATATACATATATGAAGAACATGCCTGAGGCTGCAGTGCATGGCTAAGAAGACAAGACAGCAGCAATTCATTTTCTGGATCAAAATGAACAGGTTCTCAGTATAAAATAGAAATGCACTCTTGGACTTACAACAACAGCTGTTAATAAGAGCCATGAGAGACCTTAGATTGGAAGGTGGACACTGATTCGGCTCAGTTTGGCTCTAAATGTGAAGAAAATTTCCTGGAGTTGTGGAGTAAACTTGTCTTTTCTGGTAGAGAAGCAGAAACATAGAAGCACTTCTAAGACTAAGCAAGCCTCTGATGGTTCTCATACCTCCATGGAAATCTGTCTCCTCGGAGCTTCAGTTTCTCTGAGGATTGTTCTTAGCATGTGCGCACTTCCTGTAATGTCCCTGAACAAACAGTCTTCTGCTACTTTTAAAATGAAGTTTATCTTCTAATTTCAGAAGAGCTCAGACACACAAGGCAGGAATTCAGTGATTTTCAGTGATTCCAGATAATGATGTCATGCTGACTTGGAATCTTTTATGCTGGATTGGAAGGTGAGGGAACTAGCGCAAATTTTCTGATATTTTTCCCATGGTAATTGAAGATTCCACTTGGAAATTTGCAGATTGAACAGTAGAATGTGAAATAGCCAGAGGTACAGCTGGCCCTGAGATACAGTCTCATAACATAAAGTAAAGGGAACAGACTTCACATTAGCTTAAAAGCATAAATTGTGCTCCTGTCTCAAAGGATTAAGTAGCATTTCCATATATACAAAAGTAAGCCTGGCTATGAACTTACTGGATTCGTCTTCTCCTGAAATTGAAAGAGCAGCATTTGGAAGAACCTGGGACTACAGATATTCGAAATCAAAGCCACCATTTATCCAATATCATTGGAATAACCCACCTCGTGCTCGATCTTGCCAGAATGCCACAAAGCATTCTGAATTATCCTGGAGGTGGAAGCAGCAGCTGGTGCCATGCACAGAGCTGGCAGTTGGACTTCTGCTCCTTCTGTAATGGATGCGAGCTGAACTTGCTTCTCATTCCCAAAGGCATTTACCATCTCAGTTGTGAACATGGACTTTTTAGAATGGCAAATCAAAATACTTTCTTCTCAAAACGACTGGCTTCTTCCTTCTGCAATCAGACTGTTCCTATTCTTATGCTTTTAACTGATCTGTTACTGTGATATAACATCTCCTCATAATGACATATTTTAGAAGCTAAGGAGTATGAAGGCTTATGGATTAATACAGGCTGGTAGAGGTGTTTTAACAGCAAGGAATTAGTGAGCAGATGTGCTGTGATACCTTTTGTTTGTACTCAATGGTTGTTGATACTTACAGAACTGTCCTTGCTGTTGATGATCACATCAGCCCTTCTTGTGCTGAGTTCCTTTGAGTGTCACTGGGATGTAGCTCATGACAAGAGAGCAAATAACTTGTCTGAACAAATATTTTAAAGCCCATTATCTGTGATGCCTTATACTATTTCTTTCCCCTGCACAGCAGAATTCCTACATCAACTTTGTATAAAGGTGTAAATTTTTTATTTGATGTGATCAGAGTTAATAACATCCTAAGCTAGTGTCACATGTACTGATGCTATTTAACCACATTTCCTTCAGTTTTGGTAATAATTTAGAACAAACGTGTCTCACTGTTTTTCAGAGTGAAATATTCTTCAGAGTCTCCTGTGTTGTTGGTTGTAAGATGGAAGGATAATGAATTGTCATTATGCTAAATTCTCCCGCTCATATTTACTTAAAACTCACTCTCTTCTTCCAGCACAGAACAGCTTAACTGATTTCCCTTGGTGTCAAACCCAGATTAATCAGATGTGAGAACAAAGAAGAGATCTCCTAGATAACTGCAAGAAGCTGTATCCTGCTGTTCAGCATTGACCAAGAACATAAAAGCTACGTCAAATGAGTGCTAGCTCACTACCTAATTTTTGTCTAGATACAAGTGGCAATTGACAGAAATCTCTGTATTAAAGAAAACTAGCTGGATACCTCTTTGGTCAGCATGGTCTACATCATATTTTAGAAGATGCCTGCAGTAAAGAGGAGTCTAAAACTTACTGGATTTAAAGATTATCTCTGGATTGAAGATAGGTATGTTCTTGGCAGAATGTGACAAGAAAGAGTGAGGTAACTTTGGTAGCTGCTACATTTTGTGTAAAATGCTGAGCAAAAAGTGACTGAATGTATTCAGGTCAGAGAAAATTGGTTCATGCAACCCTTTGCACCTTATTCTTCTGACTCTGGACCCTTCCCTGCTCAGGAAATCTCTATACATAATGTTATTTATGTTTTGTTTACCTCAGAGGATCTCTTCCAGTACTGATTCATCATTTTCATTCCTATCCCCTTGAGTCTCTTTAAAATCTTTGATTTCTCAGTTTTTTTGATGACATTCTCCTCATCTGAAAGACCATTTGTGTGAAGATCAACCATTTACTCTCTCCATGCCATGATTGTGCATATTCCACTCAGCCATTACTATGCTTAAGAAATCTAACTTACAAGATCTTACAAGATCCCTCCCTCCCTTCCTCCCATCCTTCCCGACATGTGTCTCTTGAATATAGAATTCAATACACTGAATTTCATTTACCATTTTATTTGCCATCACTTAATGTTATAAGATTCTTCTGCCAATCTTGATAGTTAGTGCAGATCTTTGGTGATACTGATCAGTCTTTGTAAAGTTTTTGTTGCAGCTGCTTAGTGTGTGTTAATGTGTGCCCATGTTTGGGGTCAGACAGTGGTAGCTGGGTAGTAGGTGCCCAGTAGGCATTTCACAGTGGATGAAAGTATGTGGCAGAACAGTGCCAAATTTTCTCCCATGCTTGGTTGGGTGCTGTCACTTTTTGTATGATAACCTGTCAGTTCCTCTGCCTGTGATGGTGAAAGCTGGGTAGGAGCTGAAAGATCTGGTGAACTTCTGTTGTCTCACTGTGCTCAGGAAATACTGGCTATAGCGGAAAAAGTGTCTCTACACATTTACAGTGATCTGAAATTCTTTCTGCTGTTTTCTCATTTTCAACATCATGTGTAGGCTCAGGAATGGGGCTCCAAGTGAATTTAAGGACCATTGATTTCCGTACATCTAGGAATCAATAGGTCCTCAAACACTGAGTGATTTCTTTGCATTTTTTCAGGAACAAATTTTACTGCCCATTATTGTAGCTATCAGAGAGAAGATAAGAAAGAAACACAACCTTCCAAGTGGCAAATCAACATGCTCACGTTTCAGCCTTAAATATTCATGAATATTATCCCCCTTACTTCTTTGAAGAGTTTGACATTTACTTAAGTAATTACTGTCACCTTTAAATGGCTGCCCATATTTTGTCCTTTTGTAAATCCTTCTACTGTTTTATTTATGCCTCTGTTTCATCTCTGTTCTTTGAGCCAAGCTTTATCGGGTCTGCCAGGTGTACTGTGCACACATATTCTGAGTTAATCTCTCCACTCTGTCAGAGTGTAGGGAAGTTCATTTATTCAAAGAAGGTGGAAGGAACGAGGGGAATTCAGCCAGAAATACTTTGGTCTTTGTTGTCTCTGTAAGTTCCTTACACTAGGCAAAACACAGCTAAAAAACAATATCAAACGTGAGCTTTCTCAAGTAAAATTCTTTGCTATCAATGTGTCTCGAAACAGGATGACAGATTCTTCAAAATCTTTTATTGCAAGAGCTTTGCTGCACTATATACATGGCCATCGTGTAGAGTCAAATGGCAGCCCTGTTTCTGTAGCTAGGCACTTTGGTCTGCAACCCATCTAACATTCACATGAACAGATGTTTCCTGAAAGAAATGAAATGTCTGGTTTCCACACTTGGGTAAGCAGATTTATAGGTACAGAATGCTGCTCCCCTTGGTGGGAATGAGTGCTCCAGTTATGTCCCGCAACTCCAACTGGCTGGAAATGTTTGAGGGTGTTGTGTGGAAGCTTGGAATATCACTGCTTAACTGGGAACTCATCTCTGACACAGTGAAGTCCATCAGTTGATATTCACATTTAAGCAATCAAGAGCACAGAATAAAATTTGCAAGGTGATGAAAGAAAAATTGGAGATTCTTTTGAGCCAAGGTAGCCTCACCCAGATTCAGTGCGACTCTTCCAGGTCATCTGGAAGAACCTGGCCCTTAAATTAGAACAGAGTGCTTCCAAGTGACTTTTTTCTGCCTGGAAGTGAGAGGCAAAAAGAACCAGGAGGGAACTAATTATGAGTTCATCCTGAATAAAACCAAAGTTACTGCTGAAGTTTCAAAACTGGTGAGGAAATTTGTGAACCAAAACTGCTTGCACAAACTGTTGAAGACAGTCTTGAATTAGATTTCATCAGTGCACTGTAGAAGCTGCATAAAAGACTTTAGATCCTGCTGAGAAGGGAGGTTTGTGGAGGTTCTTTGAAGGCAGTTAATAAATACAGTCAGAAATAAGCATCTAGGGGATGCGAGGAAAGCCTTAGGGAGTGCTGAGAAGAGTCACCCTGGATATTCATTATTGCAGGCTTCATCTTTGGCCAAAGTATTGAGAGCAAAGAAAGTCTGAGTAAAGAAGAAAAAAAAAATGAAGTCCCTTTTTTTTTACTTTTTTTTTACTTTTTTTTTTTTCTTTTTTTGTGATGACAGAGATTGTTTAAGGCAGCTGTTACAAAGTTTATCTCTTCTGCCTTGTTGATGCCAGGCCCCTCTATCAGATTATCCGTTGAGAAAAAAAAACAGAACAAACAGTGACCATGGAGAAATGAAATAGTTAACTTGTGACGAGTCAGAGTTCCCATTTTTGAAAAGCTGCCAATGGGTCACGTTATTTTTGAAAGTCCTACTTCTGTAGGGTCTGTGAAACGGTATGTCTAACCTTTTAATGCCAATCTGTAGCTTTGTAATGTCTTTTTACAAGAAAACAGCTTTGTCATCTTTTACAGTCTGAAATTCTTATCCTGTTTGCTGGACAAAACTAACTTGGTGAGTTTTATTCTGTGTTTATGCTTTGAGCTTTGTCTTTCTGCTTGTGTGTCCAAAGAGTGTGTCTTCAGTGTGCCTGGAAAGCTGTGCAGAGGAAAAGGATCTGGAGGTGTTAGCTGATAGCTGAACACAAAGCAGTGGTGTGCCCAGGTGGCCAAGAAGTACTGCTGCCAGCGGAAGCGGGGAGGAAATCATCCCTCTGTACTCAGCTCTGGTGAGTCCACACCTTGAATACTGTTTTCAGTTTTCAGTCCAATGCTGCAAGATATTAAGGCCTTGGAGTGTGCCCAGAGAAGGGCAACAGAATTGGTGAGGGGGCCTGGTGCACAAATCCAGAGGGAAGGGAGGCAGCCAAAGGAACTGGGATTGTTTATTCTGGAGAAGGGGAGGCTCAGGGGAGACCTCATTGCTCTCTACAACTGCCTGAAAGGAGGCTGTAGTGAGGTGGGGGTCATCCTCTTCCTCCAGGTGACAGTGATGGGATGACAAAGAATGGCCTCCAGGCTGCCCAGGGAGGTTGTGGATGCCCCATCCTTGGACGTGTTCAAGGCCAGGTTGGACAGGGTCCTGGGCAACCTGATCTGAATGTGTACGTTTGGTGGCCCTGCTAGGCAGGGGGGTTGGAACTACATGATCCTTGAGGTCCCTTCCAACCCGGGTGATTCTGTGATTCTGTGATTCTGTGTGCTCCAGGGGAGGTTCAGGTTAGATATCAGGAAACATTTCTTCTCCAAAAGTGTGGTGAGACATGGCAGTCACCATTTGCATGTGTTCAAAAGCCTTGTAGACGTGGCTGTGAGGGACATGGTTAGTGGGCACCGTGTGATGGGCTGATGATCTTTTTGTTCTTCTGCAATCTCAATAATTCTGTGACTCTCTCACCTCAGTGAGGCTCCTTCCTGGTCTATTGGCAGGCAGTGCTGCAGGCTGAGCCACCTTAGTGCTTGAGGATTGGACACAAAGTCTTGAGGTTTTGTTGTGCTGCCTGCTGCAAGAGAAGAGGAGCCTGGCCTCAACTCACTGCCTTGCGGCGGAAAGAAGGATGAAAATTGAATATTGTCACAAGAGAAAAGCCTGTATGTCTCCCTGATGTGGAACTGTGGGCAAAACGATCTGTAGGCCTATGGAGCAAGAAGAAAGATTCATTTCTCTTTACACATGACATACAGAGGGAACAAGTTACATGAGTAAGTAACAGAGCACAGTCTCCAGGAGAGGCACTGGGCCGCTTTTGCTTTTCCTCCATGAATTGCAACACTGAAAACCATTTAAAAATTTCCCAGTATTCTTGTATTACCAATGGTGAATCTTTGCATCTCATTTTCCACCTTGTGATTGTCAGTATTCTCTCTTGCTCTGTTTCCTACTGTGAATACAAAACTTGCATTTAGAAATTACAGAAAGAAAATGATAGTTTGATTTCTTCTGTTACGGTCTCTGAATAGATTGTGTAAGTGTATGTGAACTCCTTTTTTTTTTAAATATTTTCCTACTGTGTGTCTTCAAGTAGGACATGGTCAGATACTGAAGGAAATAAACTAATAAAAGTCTGTACCGAGAGATCTTCTGGTTCTTAATTTGCAATTCCAGGAAAATATATATATATATATATCTTCTAATCTCTTTTGTTTTCTCTTTCTGCAGGTAAACTTTTTTTTTTTTCTTTTTTTCTCCCATAGGCATTTATGGAAAATGAAATAAAAACTTCCTTGCTTAAGCATTCACTTAAAGCAGATTTAAATTCCCCTCCGTAAGTAATTTTCTCATCAGATAATCATCAAGCTTGGCATTTTTGTTCCCTGAAACATTATGATCTGTTGACTCATAACCCTGCCCCTGTGACACAGCCATGCTCTGAGCTCTGGGTTTATTTACCAAACAGACCGAACACACATTTCTTTTTTTTCTGCTGCAGAGTTTGTATCTGATCCCATGCAGCAAGTTAACAGATACTGTGTGCAAGAATAGAGAGGATTGTTTTTATATTTTGCTGTCCTATGTTGAGGACGTGCAGCTGCTGCCATCTTCAAACGATCAGGAAAATTTGTGAGTTAATAGTCAGACGTGATTACACTGAAGAAATTTCAGGCTGAGTTTATGGAAGTAAGTTGTAGTGGCAGGTTTATGAATCAACAGATCATAAAGGTGCAGTGGATGGAGGTTGAAAGCTTAGTATTTCTGTGCTGAGAAAATTACCCAGCTTCCAGAGGAACAGGCAGATATTACAGCCATGACAGCTATGTGGATTTTGTTATGCGCATCCTTCTCATTGACATAGGCCCTGAGTCTTCAGAATCTGTAGACAGAAGTGCCTTTAAACAACTTGTGTGTCAGTTTTGGACTGGGCCTTCGGGAAAAAATACCCTCATACCACTCCCTGTCCTCAGTTTTGCATGCAATGCACACTGGTGTAAGAGCCTCTCCAGAGAGTTGTAGAGCTGTCCTTGTAGGCTCTTGATCTGTGCTTAAGAAGCAATCAGAACTGTGCCAGAACATCCAGGTACATCTCATGGGGTTACCGTAATAACTACATGCTGCTCCTGGGCCAACAGTGGGACCTGTGCTTTTTCTTCATGATGCTTTTCTGCAAAGTACAGCAAGGCATGTGACCTTTGTATGTGAATGAAATGTATCATAGAATCATAGAATCATAGAGTAGCCTGGGTTGGAAGGGACAATGATCACCTAGCTTCAATGCCCCTGCTGTGTGCAGGGTCACCAACCACCAGACCAGGCTGCCCAGAGTCACATCCAGCCTGGCCGTGAATACCTCCAGGGATGGAGCATCCACAACCTCTTTACTCTTCTCCAGTGTGAGAAATACTATCGATGAGGCTATCTTTGAATTTGTCCTGTGTCTTTGTGATGTTCTAGTGAGGCCAAATATCTGCAAACCTGTCTAATTAAGCATGGCTGACAGTTGCTTTGTGCTTCTGGAAGGCTGTAAACCCACTAAATCTGACTAGTAGCACAGGATAGCTGTGAGAGACGTGAACTTGTAGCCTAGTTCCACCCTTAGCTGTGTAGCCCATCTGCCACTGGTGAGAGTGGTCTCTTCCACCCTCAGTCTAAATACGTCTGGTGTTCTGCATGTGCACGTGCTTCTGGTGACTTCCAGAGCTGCAGTATGGACCAAGGAGTAAGCAAGTGAGTGGGAACGTTGGACATGTGTCACCCTGGTCAGTGTGATGCTGCTTAAAGTCTCATGACAACATAGCTGTAATACAGCTTATAGCTGCGATAGCTATGGCTCTGTGCTTTCCATGGCTGCTTGTAGTTCTTGTTCCATTGCCGGTGTAAAAAAGTTGCACTTTCTTAGAAAGCTAATTGGCTACTGCTGTCAGTTACTCTCGGATGACATATATTGCTTCTACTACTGTTGATACACATTTCATGCTGCTGCCAAAATAATGCAAACTGAGCAGTGTTGAGCTATTATTTCAAGGAAAATGTTCACATTAAAAAAAAAAAATCATTAAAGAGATTTGAACTCTTCAAATCAAAAGTAATTCCATGATGTCTCATGGAGGCTGCAGCTCAGTTGCCTTACATTTCCATTCCTCTGTTGATGATTTTCTGAGCTACATGTATCCAGAAGCAAAGGTCGACTCTCTGGGAGAAAAGTTCATCACAGATGTTGACGGCTCTAAGATCAATTTGAATCAGTGAAGGTGGCCAGTGATGGAGTGTTTGGACAGGAGACAACTGAAATACAGCTTTCAGATTGCTCAGCACAGGTATCTAAAAGAAACTGAGTGTAATCAATTGAGTTCTCTCAGTATTTGTAAGATTCCCAAACAATTGTTTTTGAATACATTGGAAATTTAAAAATAAGCATTTCAGGTGCCACTAATTATTTTCATGACTCTGAGAGAAAAGTTAAGTGAAAAATAAATGAGGCTTAAAAGCTGTCAAACATTTAATATAAAATAACCTGTTTCAAGCACAAGCATTACAAACTAGCTTTCATTTCCTATTTGTACACTTCTAAATATTTCCAGATTTGCTGCCAAGATAAGTAGGGCTAGGAGGTAAATATCTCTTTGGCCATCTGAGTTGCCAAGAGATGCTGCTGCATTTTGAATGAGTGTCAGCCACTCAGTGAGGAACCACCCACAGCTTAAAGATGGTCCAGATTCTCTCAGCGGTGCTAATGTCTGACTCCACAACTGAGGAGCCTCCAAATTTAAGGCATCTACAGCAACTACATTTGATTGCCTAAATTTAAGTGCCTGAATCTAGAGCTGAGCTAAACAGCTTCTGGTTTAAAGACTGTTAAAATTAAAGCCTGCCACCAAATATGATCTGCCAACATATTATCTTATGACACATGATGATCAGTGGATGTCCATATTCTTCTATGGACCAGTGCTCGATGATGTGACTGGAAGCATGAGGTCCTGAGGTGCAGGTCCGTTCTATGTTCCATCAGTCCCATGCAGACCATCACCGGGTGTTGTACATGATTTGACAGCAACACTGGAATGCTTGATGGCATTTTGTTCCTCCCAGTGGTCCTGAAGGCTCACAGACTCACGGGGAGTAATACAGATGTTTCACAGGTACCAGGAGGGGAAGGTCTGCTCTCCAGGGCAAGATACAGGCCGTATTTCTATCCTAGGTCAACACTTCCGCCTGTACTGGGGCACATCCTGGCCGCCTGTACCACACCTTCTGGCCGGATGTCTGCAGCTGCATAACGATATCAGGCACTAAAGGAGGTGTCCTGATCTGCCACAGGGACACGATGGGGGTCCCTTTAGCAACAAAGATTGGAGTGTTGACCACAATATCAGTAGGCCATGTACCTATTACTGGAGGGACTACTGAGCCTCCCACCTCCAATAGTCTCCCCCAAGGTGCAAGTAGGCCACACCACTTGGGTCCTACCCACACCTTCAAGGGCCATTTTATTTTATGGGTACCCGGATCTAAGTTCTCAGGGACAGGGAGCAGAAGATTATTTTCATTACCAATTTGGAGTCTTACCTGATGATCAGTGCCCGTAATTTGGATTCTAAGCGGGATGGCCCATGTCGTCTGCAACATTCTCAGGGCACTGGGTCTGCCATCTCGAGGTCTTTCATTCAGGTCCTGCAGGGTTTCATACAGTCTTTTTGTCCACCCCTGCAGGGACTGGGAATCTGTCTTCAGGGCAGCCTTAAGAATACCATCATAATGTTCGATGAGGCCTGCCTCCATTGGATTATATGGCAGGTGGAATCGCCATTCGATGTTATTCTCCTTCTGCCCAGCGCTGTATCGTTGCACCAGTAAAATGAGTCCCTTGGTCACTCTTGATGACTCGAGGTGTCCTGTAGGCAGACATCAGTTTAGTGAGTGCCATGAAGGTATCTGCCTGGTTTGCTTTCGGTACTGGATAGACCTGCAGTAGCCCACTTGCAGTGTCGACACAGGTCAGGGCATATCTTGCCCCTTCAGAACTAGGAAGGGGCCCGATGTAATCGACCTGCCATCACTGGAGAGGACTGTGTCCCCTAGCAAGATGGGCTGTTGTTTCGGACAACGATCTCAGTCCCATCTTGGAGCAAGCGTTGCAATCTTGGCATGCCTGGATGATATCAGATAGTTGTATGGGCAGTCTCCATGCTTCAGCAGCTGTCCACATTGTCTTTTGTCCAGCATGCCGTAGCTTCTGATGTAACCAGCGGGCGATGTTCTCAGATGGTGAATTCTCAATCCATCGAACTCGGGCCTGTGTGTCGGCTTCATTGTTTCCCGGTGACTGTAGGGGCTGATGACCAGAAACATGGTAGACACATACAGTCCTGTGTTTGACCATATTCCATATATATAACCACATGTCTTTGCCGCAGATTGATCAGGCGTGGATAGTCCATCCACTGTGCAATCCAAAGAGTGAGCCCCTGGTACACAGCCCAGCTATCTGCGCAGATGTTCAGGATACCATCACTGGGTTCCTTGGTTATAACCATCCACACGGCTTGCAGTTCTGCCCATTGGCTGCTCTGGCCGTCCGCCTCATCGAACCAGATTGTCTCAGTGGAAGGATTGTATGCTATTGCACTCCACTTGCTCGGGTTGCCCTAGCTGGACCCATCTGTGTACCAGGCATCTTCAGGGATAGGATATTTTCCCTCCTGAATGGGACTCTTCTCTGGTGTAGCAACCAGTATTTCTTTTGGTGCATCACTGTGATACGTAACTGGGCCTAGGATCTTCTGGAGTTGTTCTCTCTCTCTCTCTCTTTCTCTCTCTCTTTCTCTCTCATTGTTTGGTGATCGTTTATTGAAATGTTACTAATTTGGCCTATGGGAAGATGGAGAATTGGCTTTTTCCCTGTTAATACGCCAAGTTCATGCTCCAGTTTTTCAATACAGTCTTTTAAGAGTTGGTTTTCATTTTCTAAAGTATTATTTCTTATATCTGCATGATTTAAGGCACTTAATAGTGGCCATGCCACTGTGGAGGCAGCCAGACATCTTTCTTTAGTGATGAGCACATCCTTGCTAAGTCCTTGAAAGTAATTTGTCATGCGATAT